AAAAAAATAATTTAATACTCAATTTAATTTATAATATAAATATAATATAAATATTGATACATTTCGTAAATAAATTAATATTAATTAATAAATCTTTATGCTATATATCAATGATTTATTTTTGTATATAAATTATGATTTACAAGCAATTCTTTTTTTTTATAAATCCTCAATGAATATTAATGATTCATTGCATCGTTTACTTTTTCCTTATTGTTGTATCATTATTTCCATATTATTGTATGTCATTATTTATCGCAGTAACTTCCAATATTCCAATTTCAGTTTTTAATAAAGCTCTAAAGAATCATTTTCAAGCGATATATGTATTTAATTTAACTCTTTTTTAAATATACATCGAATGTATGCATCGAATCGATTATTCGTATCATTAATCGATTTTAATTACACGATTCTAATAATTGTGCAGGACAGTTGTACAATGATTAAGTTCACCAAGCTGAAGGAGGCTTAACCGCGGAAATTCTGTGGAGCGCGGCGAGAGCGCAGTCGCACCGCTTATAGATTTTCCCCTTTGGTGACTTGGTACGTGTAATACCGACACAAAGCTCGGGGGTTGCATGGATGAGGTAAAGGGGATGGTTTGTGTCCGACGCGCAACGTCCATGGAAGGGAAAAGGAACTGCGCACACCCGGAGGTAGTGGAACAGGAGGACGAGGTGGAGGAAGAGTAGGAAAAAGAGGTAGAGTAGGAGTAGAAGGAGGATGTAGCGAGAGGACAGAAGCGACGGGCTAGGCCAACCGTCTACACTGTGAACTGCCCGATCGGGAATGAATAATCTCGCGCATAGGTGGTGCCCGATGTGAAGGATTTGGACATGTGACCAAGGGTGAGTGCATCATCGAGGTGCATCTTCGTGGTGCACTACTACTCGTATTTCGCGGTTAAACACGTGGTCCGGGTTCTTCAATGCGTATTTCGAATGGTAAGTCTTTTTTTCCTTTCATTCGTTTTCTATCTGTTCATTACACTTTCGCATGATGCCAGGAAATTTGTAATGTTCGCATATTACTTAAGAATCACATTATACATCTCGTTACATTCTTACATTTATAACACATTTTTTTAAATGATAAACGAATTGAAATTTTCAAAGATAAATTTTAATGAATGTTTGTTTCAAATATAAAATCTATAGAAGAATTAACTTTCTTTAAGAGAATATTACATGTTGTTAATTTTTAAATTTATTTTCAGTTATTTTAAGCGATGTTAAATATTAAATATTGTTTCATTGTAAAATTCGGTTGTTGATATTTGATTTTCGGGCGCGGTTCGTGTTATATTTTTTTGAACTCTTTTCTAAAAAAAATTTTGTAATTAGAAAATATGTGTAGGATAAATATATCTTTGCAAGATTTGTTTGAACTTAGCGAAAATTATTTCTCACAATTTTATCATTGATATTATCATCTTCATGTGTAAACTTCGGAATTTTAATTGTATTGTCTGAAGTATTTAAATTTATCACAGTTTGATTTAAAATATTTAATTTATTCTTTATGTACTTTTATCAAAGAATTTTTAATTAATTTTTTAAATTTTTTAAATTTTTTAAAGTTATTTATAAGAAATTAAAAAAGTATGTTTCTATTTTGTACTAATATTTATTAGAATATTTATTAGACATATCATAAATATGTTATTGATGCATAAAACATGTATAATTTTATATATATTTTATGTTTTTTTAAACTAATTTTATATATATAATTATGATTATAAACGCGATAAGCATAAAACTAGATAAGTTGATTTATAATACTTTTCTAATATTTAAATATTTTTTGAATATATTAATATTCATTTATATTTTAAAAATATCGATTTGATGTATATAATTACTGTCTCTCTCCTCTCCACATTACATAAAAAGAAAATTACGATTAATTAAAAGAAATTAAGATTAATTATTAATTTTTTAAAGAAATAAATTAGAATAAGTAATTGTTTAAAAATTTAATATTTTTATAATTATATTAACAATTAAATTATAAATATATAATTGCAATGATTATAATAAAAAAAATATAATTAGTTATAAAAATCACAATATTCTGTTTATATACACATCTATCGCAATATTACGCGCGAAAAGAATTTGTAAATATATGAATAGTATATCTATATCATAATAAATTAAGTATTTAAATATGTTAAGATTACATTATTCTAATAAATTATAAATAAATTGTAAGAAAACAAATTGAATTTCATTATTTATTGTAGATAAAAAGTAGAGTATTAAAAAAATGATGTACATGATGTACATTTACATGTAGTTATTTTGAATTGCAATTAATTTTTAAAGATTTTATATTAAAAAAAAGAAAATGAATTTTAAAGTCCCTCTATTTTCTTAACTTTTTAAAATTATATTTTGAATTATATATTTGTAAATGAATATGTAAGATATAAAACATTTTGTCTGCATTTTTACTTATCAGATAATTTCAATACGAAATGTTGAGGTTACCATGGCAAGTACAAGGGGGGTGAATTGGGAAGTGGGCGTGAAGGTTGATTCATGCTGGTACGGTGTTCTATAGTACCTCTTTAGCTATATTTCGATAATAAGAAGCGATAACGTCAGTACTGCATTACGGCCAAATTCAGTATTATATCGATAGAAAAAGTTAGACTAATCTCAATTATTTTTTTTTATTGATCACGTTACTGTGTATATAAAAATTTTCTTTTCTTAGTTTTAGCAAAAAACGTAAAAATATTTATTATATATACATATACATACAAATCTTAGGTGAATAATTTAATTTTAAAACAATATTAATTGAGAAATATTAAATTATTTTGATTCATATTTCAAATAATTTTAAATTTTAAATATTATAAATAACATAGTACAAATCGCCGAACTTATTATTTAAAAAAGGATCAATTTAAGAATATTGAAAGAAAGAAAAATGTTTAAAAGTATATATAGATTTAAGAATTAGAACAAAGTGTAATTATTAAATAATTATGTTTACTCATGTTCAATTATTATAAAATTAATAAAAACGGAAAATATTATTAATATTTATAAAAATAATAATATTTACATATATACAATAATGATCTGTACAATATATACATTTTTATTATTTTATTTTTTTATTATTTATTTTATCATGATCTTATTACGTCAGTATCATTTTTTTGTTTTAATTCAGTGCATCATCATTAATTGCAAACTTATGTATGTTTGTGAAAAAAGTCTTTGTGCAGTTGACAGTGGACAATTGAGAGAGAGATAAATTATCTTGTAACAGAGATATACATATATTTTTCATTATGTGTTCATAAAAGTATTACCAATAGAAAGATGCAAACTATTTATATAATTAAATATTTAAATTAAATATTATATTATTTAAATTATTTTTTACATTAAGCATTATGCTCGAATAAAATTTTTCAATAAAATAAAATTTGATTAAAGAACATAGATAATCATATATTAGAAAATATTTGAGAATATACATATGAATCTTATGATAAAGATGTAAATAGTTATACGTACATATATTATAATACATAATACTATTATGTATAATATTTTGTTTAACTTCGTATGCGTGCGTTAATTAATCAGAATATATCGTTTTACATACAGATAAATACTTGTATGTATATTTACGATTTACCTCCATTTTTTAATGTCTGTTTAACAAAAATTTATTGATAAAAAAATTTTTATATTAAATACAATTTCGAACTTAATTTTTAAACGCAGAAAATATTTTCCAAATCCTATGGTGCGATTATACATATACATTTTGATTGTCATGCAATGAAACGTAGAACTATAGGAACAATAGACGTCTATAACATTTATGTAACAGCAATTAAATGTGCAACAAAATAATAATAATTTGTCAACAAAGATTAATAAAATTGATTTGAAAATCACAGATGAATATTCAAATCTACTAATCTATTTTCACCATATAATTTAACATGGTGTTCTCTTTCTCTTTCTCCCTTCGTTCTAGGATAAATTGGGAATAGATTCTGGTTTCTAGAATGTCAATTGTATATTACAAATAAACCGCTGCACTTAAAATACTCGTGTTTAGGTGAAAATTATACGGCATGTATCAATAGTCTCATAAATGTAAGTAAATTGAGATATAGTGTTTGAATCTTTTTTCTTTTTTTTTTTATAATGTTATCTATTATCAAAACATTACGTGCAAATGTACAGAGTTATCAGTTGTAAAACAATGCAATTTTTAGCGCCAGTTATGTGCTATAACGGGATTTGATGTACAGTTTAATGTACTAATGTAACGATTAAGAAATGCTTAAAGATATTTTTATATTATAAATTTATAAGATTCTTAATTTAAATTAAAAATCTATAAGAAATTATTATTCTCCATTGATGACTTCTTGAATTCAAAAGATAATATATTTTGATACGCGATATAATTATATAATTTAAATAATATTGTAATATGTACATGTATATAAATGTAAATACATGTAAATAAATATAACTGGGAACAAAAATAATATTGTTATATGTATATTGAGAGTTCATCATACTTTTGAAGACATGTAATCAAACATGCGGGTATGTTAAAATAAAACTCGTAGAAATATAAAGGTATAGTAATGCAAAAGAGGTGAAATCTATTAGTTTCCTGTAACATGTTTCGCTATTGAAACTCTTTGTTATTATATCCGGAATAGTTAGAAAGGAATCAAATGTTATGTTATTTAGGTTATATCGATAAAGCTATATTTGGATTATATATTTATTTATGTTTCAAATAATAAAAATGTATAATTTTAAAGAAAAATGCTCTTTTTTTGTGTGTCTATACAATTCATATTATGAATTTCATATTGTAATACATTTTTTTATACAGTTAATTACATAATTAATAAATTATTAAATTAGTTAAATAATTATTATCATTGTGATAAGAGAAAAGTTTATGTATCATAAGAATTTAATTTATTATTTTTAAGAAAAGTACATATAAGATCAATTTTACATGATTCAAAAATATTTTTTAATGTAAAAAAAATTATTAGTACCGTTAAATTAGAAATGAAATTGTAAAATATAATATTTTTAATATACACATATCGTATTTATCATATTTATAGCGTAATATGAATCATAATATTATGTGGGTATTACATCGATGAAATCAGATTTATGTAATTGAATGTTCACTCCAATTAAAAAAAAGTCATTAAGAATATAAATCGATATAAATACAAATAACGAAAGAATATAACGTATGTAATTATTTTTTAATATTTTTTAATTTTTATAAAAGAAATTAATTCAGATTAACTTAAATTGTTGTTAAATTTGTTTTCAACAATATATCTATAATTCATTATTAATTCATTATTAACTCAATAATAATCATTAATTGTTCATTTTATATTTATTAGTAAAATTCAATTACACTAGAAAGAAATAGATTTACAATCTTGTAAATAATAAAATGAATTATATGAAAGAACGAAGAAAAAATGAAGGTTCAAATATAAAGAAGTTTAATGAAGCAAAAGAGATTTTGCAATTATTGTAAGTAACTTAACGTTATATTTTTAATAATATTTTTTTTGCTATATTTATTTGTAGAAAAATAAATTTCTTTTTAACCTTTTTATAATGATACGTCATTACATTAATGAAATTGTATTCAAAACGAAATATTCCAATATTCAAAGTATACATTTGTATTTAAATACAATTGGATTATAATCATTGCATATATTGAAATTATAATTATCAACAAAATAATGTTCTATTTTTAAGATCTCGTGAAAAAAATTAATTTCTGATGAAAAATAATTTTATAAGATATATTTTATCATTTTTTTGGCATAGTTATTTATAAATAACATTTAAAAAAAACTTTAAATATCAATATGCATAATACTATTTAAATAAATTGCAAAATTTAAAATATTTATTTATATTATCATTCGAATATATTACAAATGAAATTGAACAAAATAAAATAAATATCAATGATACTTTATTAATATTTATCACGTAACTATAATTATTAGCGATAAAAACTAATAATACATAGCATAATACTTTCAATAGCTTTCAGTTGTATATAGGTGACCTATAGATAAACATTTATTTCTATTCTATATACGTTATATTCTGTATATATTTTCGTCATAAGTAATTTTAAATTATGTAGCTTTAAAAAAAAATGATAAAAGGAGTTTTTTATAATTCATAAAAATTGTCGTAAGTAAATAAATCTTTTTATTGATGTCTATATTTTTGTACTTTTATGAACATAAAGTATAAATACACATACGAACTAATAAACTGCTATATATATCATGTATTATAATTAATCTCGATGTGATAAAAATTATATAGACAAATTTAATGTTTGCAATGTTACGTCAATGCAAACCAAGGATTTTAAGTATGTACATATATCTTATGATTGTAAGAAATTCGTTGTTTTATTTCATATTTTAGTAGAATGACTTTGTATTATTACCCATTAAAATTGTATGACTGAATATGATTTATTTTATTTTATTTTTTTTTTTGCTAGAGATAGCTGGTTATTAATATCTTTTTGCATCTATTTAATAAAATAGACATGACTTTTAAAAAATTTTTCAAAAATGAAGCCTGTATATATTTTATAAAATCATTATAAAAAAAATATTTATTCTCTTGAATGTAAAAAATGTTCATTTTTTTATAAAAAGTAATCGATGAACGATATTTTTATATTTTTATTTTGGTACAATATTGGTTCTATTTAATTATTATCTGATACGGGATATCATATGTACTTAAGTGTATATTATTCTATTTAATTATTATCTGATACGGGATATCATATGTACTTAAATGTATATTATATCTAAAGCGTTACAGCAACTTATCAGCAGTCTTCTTTAAAACTGTTGCAAAAAAATCATGATACAATTCGTTCATAACTTCATTGGGATAGATACAAATTAAATATGACATAAGCATATGGTTGATGTATCGATCGTGCCACATATTAAACATTAAATGAAGTTGTACGAATTTATGTTGTAAAGAATTTTTAGAATTTTTAAAAATTTATTTCTTTTTTACAAGATATAGAATATCGATCGATTAACATGTAATATGTATATCGATGAAAATTATTTTTGATGATGTGAATTGAAAAATTGCATTATTAATATGAGATACTTTGTGTGTGCACCTTTCCACAGATATAGCATTATTTACTTCATGATTATTCAGCACATGTTAAAACTGATCGCGTGTTTAGTTTCTCCGATGTTTGCTACATTCTAAATGTTAAGTATTCTAAAAGAGAATTGTTACTTTAATGTCATAATATATATATATATATATATATATAATATATGTGATAATTGTAAGAAAAAGTTTAAAATTATTAACATAAAAAATTATTCAAAATTATGAACATATTTTTACTTTTATAATTAAATTAATTTTGTATAATCTTTGCGTTAAAAGTAACATATATTATTTCTCTACACATATATTATTTATATACTACATGTAATACTATAAAAAATATAAAAAATAATAATTTAAAAAGTAATAATTTTATCTTTTGCTAAAAATAATATCAATATTTTATGAAACATATTACAATATTATTTCACAGAAAAAGTAACACATTTGATTCTATGAAAGATATTTATATAATAGATTATTCAAATATTACATCGTTTTCATGATAAACAATCGAAATATATTTCTTTACTTTAATTTATTGCTAACCTTCTTTTTATCGCTATATGCTATTATGTTTTAAAAGTCTTTGCAACATATTAATTTTCAGATAACTTCAGACATGCTTATTTTCATAGCAAAAACAATTTATTTTTTTTCATAAATTAAAGAAAATATCCTATTTTCCATGATACTTCTCGCTTTGTTATACGTTGCTTAATATCATTGCAATTTTTTTTCATTCATGAACGTGTAAAAATTCCTCAGATACAAAGTAGATATATATTTGTAATGAATGTGTGTAAAATGTAATATAAATGCACTAGAAATTCTTCGAATGTATGTGTATACTATACAGCAACGTTGTTACATGTTTTTCGCAAAGCAAATATAAGTTGCAGACAATTTTTTTTTTTCATGATAAGTCTACTTCTATTTTATTTTACTCAAAAGAATAAAAGATTCGAGAGAAAGAAAAACACTAGAAAAAGAAAAAAAGAAAAAAAAAAAAGCAAGAGCGGACAAAATAGAAATGCATTTTTAAATGAGTGATGAAATGTTCATATTCGATTTTCTTAGAATAAAGTCTAATAATATTATATTAATATACTATTATATTATATACTTATAGCACTTATAGCACTTTATTTTTGGCATTATATCATTGATATATTGTATATATTTATAATTGAAAAATTAGATAATCATATATTTTTTTATCTTTTCTGTATGCATATAGTTTGTATGTATTACACGTACTTATATATAATAAGAAATGTAAAGAAAAATGTATAATCCTAATTGATATTTAAGAATCACTTATTACTTAAGTAACCTTCACCCTTATTGAATTTCACTTTACATATTAATATACCAGATTCTATAGACTTTTTTTATTCAAATTGTAGTTTGCTCTATAATATTTAAATGTATTAAATTATATATATTATTTATTTTAAATAAAATTGTCAAAATATTTTTATATATATTAATATATAGTAGAAACTAGTAAAGTAGTAAAGGACAATTAAATTAATTTTTTTTATTATTGTAATATCATGCAAATATCAAAGATAAATAAATGTTATGCCGTAAATGTCTTCTTTTATTCATGTTAAACGTTCATATGTGTGTTATAGATTGTGTAAATAAATGAAAACCACAAGCACGTACACATTACATCATCGATTAAACCAGATTTCCGTATATGATTTTTTCTCGCTTTAAGATGATCCGAATAGAAATGCTAAAAAAATTGTATCTATTTTCAACGATTTTCAATGAGAAAATTTGTAATAAAGATTTAGCGGTATAGAGATTTTGTATAGAATTTTTATCTATATTTTTGCATATAAAACAGAAACAAGATAAAAATAACTACAGTTTTAAATAAAACGATATCGTATTATGGAATGAAATTATTTTTCTTTGCAATTTAATTTTTTTTAATCCATATTTTAAATTCAAATTTTATGTGTTTATACGATAAAAAAAATCTTGATTAAAAACAATAAAATAAAATGTGTGCTTCAAATGAAAATAAGAATATAGTTCAATTAACAAATAAAATATTACATATATATATAAGTAGTTACTTTTAGATTCACATAAATACCGAACATAAACAACATGTTATTATGAGGAAATATTACATTTCATAGTTGTTATGAATGTAAATGAATAAATTGAGTATTCAGGAAAAACTGCGGTTACATATTTATATACTGCTTATATGCATATATATAAATAATCACTGCATATAATTTGACTAAAAATATGACTAGTATTTAAACAAATATTACTCAAATGGTTTTTTATTTAATATAGATTATAGAAAAAAAAAGATATTAATGCAAGTATAATTTAATTATTGAAAAATATAAACATGTACTATATGATAAGAGAAACGTTAGATAATATATTGATTGATAATATAATGATTAATACGACGAAGAATTAACCAAATATTCCGAATATTTTACACATTAATCGAACATTTTATATTATTTTGAAAATATTCGATTTATTTTATATTTTTTATCCTCCTTTAAGCGTAAATTGACAGTGCATACGAAATGATAATTAGTTAACGGCACATTAGTTATTTAAGTCATTGGCTTAAATTATCTCTTCTTCTTTGAAAATTTGAAGGCATGTATATGTAATTTTCACGCTCTTACTAAAGATAAGATATATTTATTTTTAAAATGATAAAAATATTCGAAATGGTGTCATAAGTTGAAGCACATTCACCTAACGATGTTTTAAAATTTTTTCAAAACAAATTTTCGCTTCTTTGAAATCGAGAATTATTATAATGTGATTATGTTATAAATATATATAACATAATAGAATCGAGATAAAGTACCTAGCCTAATATAAAATTATAAAGAGAAAAAATTTTATTTCTTATATATACTTTTATATATATATACTATATATATTCCAAAGTGGTGAAACAAAATATTAAATCTTTCAATTTTGATTCGATCGAGTGATCTTTTTCTTTTTTTTTTTTTTTTTTGAA